GGGTTTCGTTTCAGTATTAGGCCGTTAGTTACACAAGTTAGGCAACATTGTATGTATATAACTTGATATATTTCAGTTATAAAACGCACACATATATAATGTAAGTGGAGGGCAAAAACATGATTGGAAATTTGCCAAGTTTTGTTTCATTCACTTCAAAAGTATACCTAAGTCTATAGCATTTAGATTGAAAATTAAACGTTTGTTTTTTCTCATAACTGAAATTGTAGACTATTATTAAAAGGTTTTTCTATAGAAAATTATTTTAATATTTATCATAGAATTTCTCAAGTCCCGACTTTTCGTAGTCATTTCCGTCAATAATTCAAATACACTTTCATATCTTACGTAAATTTAAGTTACAGTTACAGAGAATAATGAATTTTTTTTTAATTTTAAACATTTGCGATAGGTTATAATTACTTTTTAATAATCAAATATTCTACAAAAATTAAAATCTTAAAACATTCTTTGAGTTCCTTTTAGGTAAACAAAAGAGAAGATGAATTTTTAAACGAAACGCAATTGTTTTATGTCCCAATTTCAAAATGATAGTTAGATATATTTACCTATTATACTGAAGAAATTATTATCACGGGAACACGTAGAGTTACTAAATAAATCACAGTGAAGATGCAATGTTAGTAATTCCTTCATAAGGGCACTACGAATTATCCGTTTGAGAAGCGCGGGAAAAATAATAAAGATGGCGCGGTAATATATCTGCCGGGACGTCCACCCTGCACGATGGTTGGCAACGAACTGGGTGGTTTTGGCACGAGAGGGTTTTAACAAGTACAGTAATGCGGTGAAATGCTATATTAAGGGTTTAAGGCTCAGGAATTTTATGTTCAAACGATGAATTGATGAAATTCTAACTAAAAATATCTATGAAGATGTGATCACCGTGGGTGTAACTTATTCATTTATAAATATACTTTTTATGTTTTGATATTGTATAGTCGATTACAAAAAACTTAAACATTTTAATTGGCTGACACTTAACATCAAGATAACATTCTGTGGTGAGCTGCAGTTGTTTTTCGAGAATAATCAGTTAGTTACAATAAAATAAATAAAAAAAAAATGAATTTAGAATAGATTTATTTAACAAGATAAATGATGAAAAATATCTCAACGTTGCTTCCCGGTGCGTGGGGCTACGGTTGAATCTGGACAAGATGAAAGTCATGTTCAATGAGCAAATCGTCCCAAGTCCAGTTACCATCGGAAATGCAGCCATTGAAGTGGTAAAAGACTATGTTTACCTCGGTCAGGTCATCCAGCTTGGAC